CATACAAAATAAATAACTATTTGTCTTGGCTTGACGTACCGCACTGTCTCCTTGCTCTTGATGTGCATGCATTGTTTAACTAGTGGCAATATAGTAGGGTGTCATTTTGTCAGAATTTGTTTAGCAACAAGAACCAGCACTTGTTTTGTTAAAAGGAGCTCTTGTTTCTTTTTTCTTTATAAAAAAAGCAATAGTTTTTACATACAGGTCTATTAACCCTTTTAAACAATTGCACTGGATTTGGTCCAATTGGATCTGGTTCAATATAAGTCTATTATAGATCGATCAAGTCCAATCCAATCTGATGAATATTTTGGACCATTGTGGACTGGTCCAATTCAATGTTTGGATCATATAATTTGTTCAAATTGGTTTTAATTTAGATTGGTTCCAATTTAATCCCGGTTCATTGACATCTATATTCTTATCTTCTATCAATGGACTAGATATTGGTTCAATCCAACCAAATCTAATATGAATCCATTATGGATGGACCAAGTCCAATCCAATCAAATGAATATTTGGAACCATTAAGTTTGGATTGATCCAATTCAATGTCTTATTAATCTGTTCAATCTGTCCAAATTGATTTTAATTTGGATGGGTCCAACCCAAAACTGGTCCATCATAGAGGTGTACTATATTGCTTCTGAAGAACATTCTAGCATGAACACGAAAAGATTCACGAGGGAACATAGCAGCATTACTTAAGATCCATGATATAAAACAAGCTTGCACTAGCAGTATTACTTGAAGTTAGGGCTCTATTTTTAAAAGAAAAAAAGAAAGAAAAGACAGCATTCAAATCCAACTTTACTAGTTGTTCATAAAAACCAACTGTACCAATAAAAAAATACTAATTTTATTTACATACAATGGATGGATCCGGAGCTGGTTGGATCCAGATACAATTTAATTGTAGTAGGTTTGGGCAGAAATTTCGTACAAAGTCCAGCCCGGCCTCGACCCACATCAAGCCTGTACATAAGGTAAGACAGGCCCAATATCTAAAATCTTAGGTCCAGAAAGCCCATACCAATTCAGAAATTTAATATATAATACTAATATGTATATGACAAAATTTTCTATACAATATATTACTTATTTATTTATTTTTTGAGAAAAGCCTGAAGGCTAAATTCATTCATCAAGTCTCGGTTAAGTTGTCTTTTACAAGAGTAGGAAATTGAAAATCTGGGATACGAAACCCATAAAGATAGAATTGAGTGTCAAACAATGTCGTGCTACAACATGAGCTGCTTGATTGGCATTCCGTGGAACATACCTAACCAAGGAAGGCAGTGAAGTAAACTCTGCAGTCGGCAACCAGTAGATGAAGCCTTTATGGTGGAATCAAGGCCCCATTTGGTTTGTAGGAATATGAGGTCTAGAATCAGAATCCAAATGGGCAATTCCGAATCAACTGTTTGGTTGGGCGTAATCGGAATCTCATTCTCATTTCCCTGTTTCTCCCTTGGGGATGAAATCTTATTCCTGCTGATTTTAAGTTTCATTCCCATTTCTGTATGAACCAAACAGACTATGGGAATAGGCCATTCCAATTTTGATTTCGAAGAATTTCGATTCTCATTCTAACTCCAAACCAAACGGGCCCCAAGTTTTCCACCAAGAAAAGTCGAACAATTGATTGAGCATTGCCTTCAAACAACACATGAGAGAAACCCATGTGGGAAGCAAAAGTAAGACCCTCCTTAAAAGCAACAACTTTAGCATATGAAGGGTCACGCAGAGGAATCCAATTAGCTGAGCAAATGGAAAATTAAGCCAATGATCTCGTACAAACAAGTCCAATAGAAGCAGCATTGGTTGTGACAACATCAACATTCATCTTAATACTAGTGGCTTGCACGTGTGTTGCACGTGTAATGTTTAAGTAACAATTCAGGTAAAGATGTAATGTTTAAATTCAACATTTTTGGAGTATATAGGAAAGAAATTTCAAAATTCAGCATATGAAACTCCGCTTGTATAACATGCAATTCAATTTGTTAGGGGCTATGCAATAGCTAGTTGCTAATGTTAAACTGCAAGTTCCTTGAAGTTCCTATATTTTAACCAAGCCAAAAATTAGTGTTCAAGAAATTTTATATAGAATTAATGTCATTTGATTTATAAGATAGTTTAGCCACTGAATATGGCATCAATGCACTTTACATTTTAATAATATCCCTATTCCCATATTGTAAGTTTTTAGTATAAATACTGGAAATCTGGCTTTTCTACCCAATATAAATTATCCAAAAGAATCTTCATCAATCAGTTTGGAATAGGTAGGGGTGCTAACTGAACAATGGGGTGATCTTTTGGACCGAATTGATATGTTCACTTTTTACATTTAACTGAAACAAAACTGAATTGATGTAACCGGTTAACCGTAATTTGGTTTTATGGTTTTTTTATACCCTCAAAATTAAAAAAAGGGGAAAAACACAGTCGAAGAGAACTGGGAGATGTAGTAGAGCCTCTAACCTGTCGAGCAAATGCAGCCGAGCCTCTAGTATTGTAGAAGTAGGAGGGATTGCTAGTGTCGCCGAAGCAGGAGGGCTTGCCAGTGTTGAAGGCCGCTGATGATTCGGTTGGAGGGCAGAGCGTCGAAGGCCGTCGGTCTGTTAGGGAAGAAGAGAATTGGGAGAGAGAGAGAGAGAGAGAGAGAGAGAGAGAGTTTGTTGGGGAAAAGGGAAAAGGGAAAGAAAGAGAGCTCAGAGAGAGACTAAAAGAGAGCTTAGAGAATTGGGAGAGTGAGAGTCCGAGTGAGAGAGAAAGAGAGAGAGAGCTTAGATAGAGAGATGGAAAGAAAGGGAAAAGTCCCTGTGTGGTGGGTGTCTGACACAGACAGGCTGTTTGCTTGTTTGGCTGCCAGTTTGCTAGATTGGCGAACTGAAACCTGAAAGTCTCAGATTTTCAGTTCGGCAGTCTGAACACTCTTAGACTGCCGAACTTTTTTATTATATTTTCAAAATAATATATATATATATATAATATTATATAAATATATATTATTGTATATATATTGGTCAGTTCGGTTAACCGTCGATTTTTTTAAATGGTTAACCGATACCGAACCAAAATTGTCGATTTTTGGAAAACATTGAACCGAAACCGAACTGACCGGTTCGATTAATCAAATTTTCAATTCGGTTTCGGTCGATTCAGTTTTTCAATTTTTTTTGCTCACTAGGAATAGGGAGTTTAAAAATAAAATGAACTAAAATTCATAAAAGTGCCTCACATTTGTCCTGATATGAGGTATTTCCCAATTCATTTCCATGTTTCAAAGGTATGATAATAAGCAAAGAAAATGAATCCCTACATGATAACTTATCCAATTAGTTAGGCTCACGAAATGATACAAACCTAGATTTTTATGTGTTTATATATTCACTTGTTTGACCCCAAAACCTTTTATATATAATACTTGTTTTCTTCAGTGAGAGACTTTATAATACCAATTACCATTTTTTACTAATAAATATATTTTTGTCAAGTGAAATATTTGTAATATGGAAAATGAAATAGAACATGACAATAAAATACTTAAAAAGAAGAATATTGGCATTCTTTCAAATGGTATTTTCTTTTTCAAAGGAAAAAATTAATCCATCTTGTTCTACTTACTGTTTTAGTGAACATTATATGGACATTCATTTCATTGATTATTTTAGAGACTATATATAAGCTAAGTTGCATATAATACTTGATTTTAGAAGGCAAGCACCATAACAGAGAAAAATGAAGGAAAATGTGGTAGTTGGTTATTTTTTCACCATCCAACACCTCCTTGGGTTTGAGGATGTGACAAAGGCACTTTTATTAATCATTTGCATTTGGTCTTTAGTCACTAGAATTTTGTAATCAAATGAGAATTATTAGATGAATTAAGGGAAATACCCCATTTGCACCAATTGATCCCATGCCAACAAATGATATATATTTTTTTCTGTCACCTCACCTCTATACATCCATAAAAAATCCCTAAAAATTTAATTTTATCCAATTGATTGCAAATAGTTTTAAATAGTTTTTGGTAACAAATATGATTGCATATGGTAGGCGGGAATAGATTCTAATGTGGATTTAATGAGTGTAGCATCTTCCATGCTCCACTAGTTCAGCATTCTCCAAATGAGTAGTAAGCATTCGAGACAAGATTTCTATGCACATTGAAATTATATAAATACATGGGGATAGGGGGCAACTTTGATGTAGAACCCTAGATGGATGAAAGACTCTACCAGATACACCATTAAGTAACACAGCCATACTAGTAGTGGATATATAATGGTAAATTGGAGAGGAAGGGAAATGTAAGAAACCTTTACAAACCTTATATAGGTTTTTTTATATTTCCCTTTCATTCCCTACTTTTTCCTTCAAACCAAACACAGGTCTTATCTCACAGTGTGTGAACCATCTCTTGTGCTATCACTGTATTGTCATTTATATAGCGGCCAAGGGTAAAAGTATTTTGGTTGCAATGCAAATGCAAATATGTATACTACATACTTACCCATTTTTCAGTTTATGAATGCAAACATGGTTCACATCTTAAACCGATTTTGCATTCATCTTGTTTCGTTGAAATCGGTGTAAAAGTGTGGGTCCATCATTAAATACTTCAATGCCTTAACTTAGGTCAAAAAGTTAATTATTAAAAGAACACGAAATTATATAAAAAAATAGGTACAACAATGCTCTCTTTTCAGAGTACAAAAGTGTCAAAAAATATATTTTTACTCTAATAATCATTACTTTTTTATGTATCAAACAAAACATTGGCAAACACGACTCATATAGACAAGCTCAGGCCCGGATACATATTATCAAACCCGAAGTGAGGGCTGGGCTGGGCCTAGGCGGCTCTGCTACGTCTGTCGGGCAAACGGATCTTGTTTGCGGTTTACCCATCCGCCCAACCTGTGTTTAGGTGGTAATTAAATAGAAAGAAAAGGATACTTTTACAATTTTAATGTTGCCGTGCATAGAACGTTGGTGTTGGCGACTTGTCAATTAACTTCTACTCTGCTGCTGTGAAGGACGACGAGAGATTTCACGCGTGTTCGGCAGCTGAAATCAATTTTACGGTTTCTTCCAATTCGTCCACCTTTGTGCACCGAAAATGAGAAGGAAGACAAAGAAACGGAGTTCAGTTTGTTTGGAGAACAGACGATTTTTTTTTCTTGGAGCAGAGGATGGAGAACCTAGAATTTTCACATCTTAAAGTAATTTAATTTAGTTTTTTCGAATTTTTCTGTGCTTTTTGGGTTGAATTCAGTAATGGGTTGGAGGTACAGAGCTGGTTTATGCTTAATTGGTGTCGTCGTTTTCATTTGGGTTACTTGTTTAGAGATTACACAGGTGAAGTACCATATGTCGTTGATCTTCTTAGACTTTATTCATTTTTCTTTCTTTTCTAGATTTGTCCGTTTAGTTTGTTACTTTCTTTCCTTTTATTTGATGGTCGAGTTGGTTTTGTAACCTGCGTTCTTTTTTTCCCTCCACAGCTCCACTTATGACAATTTAATTAGTTTTTCTTTCTTTCAGTTTGTTGTTGATTTTTTAGTAGATGAATTTCAACATGAAAACTGTATTTTGGTAATGAGATTTTCTCAGTGAAAGAAAACAGGATTGAAAATTTTTAAGCAGAACGAAGTAATTTTAAGTACAAGGAAGTCCAAATTCCAAATCAAGAATGATAATTGATTACTATTTTTTATCTTATAGGATTTTCATGGGTAATTCATGTTATGGGTTTGTTCTCTTAACTCGTAGTATTTGAGAGGATGATCAGTTCGTAATGTTTGACACTCATGTGTTTATTGATCGTATAAGTTCTATTATACTTGAATTTCAGAGTTAATTATTTCTTTCTGTGCAAATGCCTGTTTTGTATATTACAAGCATTTTGGAGGCAAAATATTGAGCTTGAGCTTCAAGTGTTCAAAACTTCAAATCATTTTTTTTTCTTTCTTTTACAGTCGTGTTTTGTCAACGTTGATAAATTATTTATTTCTGAATTAACACCGTACATTTGATTATTACAGTAGGGACTCGTTAAAGCCATCTGGATAACTCTCATCTGTTGAAATTTTAGAAAGCTATAGCTTTAGGTTTTGGGCATCTCTTTTTCTTTTCCCTATTATTAGATTTTCCTTCTGTATAAATAGCAAATAGCGAATTATGTAGACCTATAACTTTCTTTTTCTATATATTTTGTTGCAAACTTTTCCAGATGTTACTATTTACCCTTAAAAATATACTATTCTTATTTATTCTACTGCTTTATTCCAAGAATTTAAACATTCTCTTTTATGAAACATGAAATATTTATCTCTTATAGTTGACCAGATAACCTTGTATCTTTGTTTCTGGATTTGTCTGTTAATGATTGCAAAATGAATGTTTTTATTTGGTGATGAGTCTTGCAATTTCCAAAAGACTTCCATCTTAGATCCAACACTCTTTTCAGTACAATCTCTCTTTTAATTCTTTTTTTTTTTTTTTTTTTTTTAAAGTAGGAAGCTTTCCATCCCGTCTTCACTCTTCCCACCCCCACCCTCAATAAACTCTTCATGGTTTTAGTTGCTATTCAAATTATTTTCCCCTATAGGTTACTTGTGTGATATATTATCCTTGTATAGATATGCTGTTGGATTGTGCCTTGAATTCCAGTTTGGCGGCCTGCTCCATGACCTGATCTGACATTTGTAGAGAACCCGAAGGGGAAATTTCATTGAGGTACATCTCTGTGGTACACACCTGACCTGTTTTTCTGTTTATCAGTCTGTGTATGTCATGCATAGGGTTTTCTCAAAATATGTATCTCATTGTATTGGGCACAAATAGAACAGGGAAAGAGTGAGAGTTTGGAGTTTTGGGTGGTTTGGGGTTTAGGGCTTTGTGTGTTAGAGCCATATCATTTCTTTAGTGGATTGCTCATGGACGTAGGCCAAAGGCCAGGCCAAACCACATAAATCTGTGTTTGTGCTCTTCTTTTCTTCTCTTGCTTCTCAGATATCTATTTTACTTCGTTATTTTGTGCCATTCAAATCAGTTGATTCTGGGTTTTGAAGAACATATCTTTCTATGGAGGTACTTAGGTTTGGATACCCATGTATCTGAAGTTTTTGTTTCATACATGTACTCACATGGTAATGTTTGAGGGTTTGGACTGCCTTTTGATACATCTAGATAATGAAATCTATTATATTCTTTTGGGTGATAATTATTGTAAAATTATGAAGTTGTTCACTCCTCAATTTTGTTTATTGGGAAGTTTAGAGCATAAATATTACAAGTTCTTTTCATATTTGAAAGGTTGTCCATTGTAAGAATGCTATTTAACTGAATGGATTATTCATATCAAAGGCCAAGTTGGTGTTAAATGACATTCCATCATAACTACTAGACAGGAAAACATAATTTGTATTATAACTTGTTTTAGGTTGATTTATATGTAAAGTTCCTCCAAATTTATATATCATGATGAGGTTTTATTTTATTTTCTGGGTTTAGGATGTGCAACTTACTAATGCTCATTCCTGCAGAGAATATTTACAGAGTATAAACAACCATTTGCAATCACTTATTTGGGGGTATCTCTTATGGTGATTTATCTACCAATTTCGTTTCTGAGTAACTGGATATGGAACTTCATAAGAACCAATTCATTTAAGAAACTTCTAGATGCAAACACAATGATGGCCTCCTCGATGGGTCTGAATACCCCACTTAGAATTAATGAAATGCATGATGGTTTCGAAACAGAGATGAGAAACTGCTTGATTGGGGACATGTATCTTAGTGAACAGGAAGAAGGTTGGCCTTTGATTGACAAGAGCAATGAAGATGAATTTGATTTTCTAAGACATGATTGTGAACAAAGCTCATGGAGAATGGCGAAGAGCATCTTTTGTCTTGCTGTTATATGGTTTACTACAGAGGTAATAAAATTGCATGCTGAATTCTTTTATGTTTCCTGGTACTGGACTAATTTTTGCATGGTAGACCTAAAAAATCCATAGAAAAGTGATGGGGATGAAGGGGTATATGTAATAGTCCACAAGAGAAGGGAAAATCTCTAATGTAAGACAGTGACTGGATGATCCTATATTTTTGAAGTCCCAAAGGAATGTGATAAACTGGATGACTAGACTAACATGGAGATCTCTAATGTGAGACTTATCATATGATGTCTTTCAGATACTGCACACATTACCAAGCAATATAATTTGTAGGCTGGCAATCTGGAAAATTACATTCATAGTTCTTCCTTGCCCTTTTCCCTTCATCTGGTACATCTGGATTTCTTTTAATTTTTGCACTCTATTTTTTTTCTTTGGTACAGTATTTATCGAATGCTGCGCTGGCGAACACAAGTGTTGCAAGTACTACCGTCCTAACTTCTACATCTGGACTTTTTACACTTTTCTTTGGGGCATATCTTGGTCAGGACTCCTTAAGTATAGCAAAGATTGTTGCAGTATTTGTTAGCATTTCTGGTGTTGCCATGACCACAATAGGAAAAACTTGGGCAATCGATGAGCCACAGAACATCTCTGAGTAAGTCTAGTTTGTTTCTTATTTATCTGTAGAGTTCTAATAGAACATAAGTTCTGAGTCTGACTGTCTGCTCTGTTTACTATCATATTTCTGCACATGGGTTGCCTTAATTTTTTGTCAAAGCGGATGAGGTCTATGGGTTACCTTCTCTCATGGTGTTGACTCCTACTACATCAAAGTATGAATATTCTAATTGCCTTATTTTAAGATTCTTATGATGAAAAGACTAAACTGCTCTCCTTAATTTAATTTTGTAATCTACTTTCTCAAATTCAAACTATCATAGACAAAAATTAGTTTGAAGTGTATTCATGAAATACAACTACAATGAGGTGGTTGCATGTAATTTCCAAACTTGAAGCAATGGGGTCCTAGAACTTGCCGGGCAGAGCAGTCTATGGTCACTGCCCAACCAACACTGACAGGCACACACAAATGAAAGAACAAGAAAGAAAGAAAGGAAAGAAGAAAAAAAAAGAATTTTCATGTACAATAGAATCTTGCCTCTATATAGATGTTAAATAAGAGACTATATAGGTGCTTCATAGATTTTCCACACAAATCTTATTGGTTGCACCTACACAGACAGTCAGACACACAAAGAAAAGAAAACAGAAGAAATAAAAAGAAAAATATATTTATATACAATAGAATCACAACTTTTTAAAGATGTTAACTACAATGCTATTAGATGCCTCAGTTTCTACAGACAGTTCCTCTTGTTTGCACCTATATAGCTTTATTAGAAGGTGACTCTGTTTTTTCTGTTTTACTAATTTACTTCTTTGTTTTAATGTCTTGTAGAGGTGCAAAACACTCCATTGCAGGGGACATCTATGGTCTTCTTGCAGCAGTAACATATGGCCTCTTCACTGGTGAAGCATTTTTATTTCATCAATCTGTCATATTTGCTTTTTGGGGCTTACAGGACTTAAGTTAATTTCAATATCAGAAGTCTGTTTTGGAATAATCTTCTTGACTTATAGATTATTATATTGTTTATTGCAGTGCTACTTAAGAGATGTGCTGGATCAGAAGGAGAAAAGATTGATGTGCAAAGGTTCTTTGGATATATTGGATTGTTCACCCTTCTTGGCCTTTGGTGGCTTGGTAAGAGATCAATAAATCTTTTTATTATTTTATTATGTATAGCTGGATATATTACATTTAATTATTTAATCTAGAATTAAAATGATCAGGAGTTCTAGAAGGATTTCTATGTACATATCCTAAGAAATGGAAGCAGTGGTGATGGGAATCCCAAATAGCCAGTTAAAACTTATAGATGAGGAAAAGGCTGGCATGGTGGTTTTCATATTGTTGCATCATTGTGGAACTTGGGGATTAAAATTAGATAAACCATTTTTTGCTTTTTAATTTTTTTTCTATTTGCACAGAAGGGGTAGTGTTTGTATTTTTACCATAGATCTCATGTGGGTTAGCTATAGAGGTATGTTTGTTTGATCTGTTTCATTTACTTTGAGTTTGTTAAAGTCATGGTTTGTCTTAATATACTATTTACATGCTTTCAGAGCTTTATGTAGTTGGCAGAGGGGGATGTTCAGAAGTTGAACCAGAAAATTCCACCTTAAAAACCCAATAAAATACTTGAGGAACTTAATCCAACCAAGCTACCCCATATATTTAATCCTAATACATTGTTGGTTCTAGCTGTTTTGGTTAGATCTTCCTCTAACCCTTTTTATCCCAATTTCTATCAATTGTCTTTTGAAGTTTCAAATTTCATAAAACCCTAATTGTAGCTGCTTGACCAGAATTAGCCCCAACTAGGCATTAATACTAAACTTAAGCCATTCTTTCATTCCCCGATTGACCTATTCACTCTTTCATCTTAACCTTCAAATTTTCCAAATTTCCAAATTCCATACTCAGATTTGTACCAGGCAGAGAAGCTATCTTGACAAGCTTGTGAAATGTAGGCAAAACAGGCTAAGAAGAAGTGATGAAGTCATCCATTAAGGGAAGAGACTGGGATCCATTTGGTCAGTTGTCTTCCATTATTTAGATTTCCAAAAGGAAACCAAAGGGTTCTAGGTTGGTCTGCAAATTCCTTGGTTTTGGAGATTTGCTTTGTCTTTAAAACCAAACACCTAATTCCTTTAGTGTCTATTGCAGGAGAGAGACGACCAAGAAGAATAGGGAGAGTTTATCTCCTAGGGCCTGCACATTTTCTATATACAAAAGGGAAAATAATTTCAGGGTGCAACTGGATTAGGTTAACCTTGGGACTCCTTATTGGGGAATATAAATATCTGTCTCGTGGGTGCATTTGTTTTAGCATATGGTCAGAATCATAATCTTCATCTTTTAGTCGTATTGTTGTTGAATTTTAAGTCTTAATACATAGCAATAAGTCTCTCCGAGGCATAGTGTTATTTACTAGCTTTCATTTTGCCACATTGCTCTAATTTTGTTCAGGTTTCCTAATTTTGCTTTCACTATGTAGTTGACCACTTTTCTTTGTATATGGATCTAAGTTGAACTTTTTTACTGAACAAGTATATTTCTTGGGTTGTAAGACTGTGGCCTTGGAGAACAAGTATATTTTTTCTTGTGTAGTTGAACTTTATCCTGCTTTTTGGTTTCTATACATTACCTTGTCCTCAAAAAAAAGTTACACTAAACAGAACAGAATGGTGAAACAAGACTCGTATCACCTACCCATATAATTGGGATAAGCTTAGATGATGATGATGATTTCTAGTTGCTGATTCCAAGAGAGCCCTTTAAAGATGACTCCGTTGGTGGATCACATGGACAAATATGATGTTTTCGTTCATTTATTATTTTAGAGTTATTCATCTATGAAATTGAATATGAAAGTGCACAAAATTATGGAACCTTCAAATTGTCTCATCATCATCATCATCCATGCCTTATCCCAACTGTATGGGTTGGCTACATGAATCCTGTTTTGCCAATCTATTCTATTTAAATCCATACCCACTATTAAATCATTAGTGCTAAATCATTTATAGTACTTCTACCTATGTCCTAGCTCTTCTAGCACCTTCCACTTGTAACAAATCAATTCTTCTAACTGGAGCTGTTGGTGGTTTTCTGTGCACGTGATCAAACCATCTTAGTCTACTCCCTCTCATTTTATCACCTATTGGAGCTGCTCCTAGGTTTCTATTGATGGTTTCATTTCTGATCCTATCCTTTCTAGTTTTTCCACTCATCCATCTTAACATTCACATTTCTGCCACACTCATTTTCTGAATATGTTGTTTCTTGACTGCCCAACACTCTGCTCCATACAACATAACTAGCCTTACAACTGTTTTATGAACCCAGTTATTTGTTTTAATAAAAAATTGTTACTTTTGCTTTAAGTGCCACTAGGAGTGCTATGATCTGTTTAAGTCCTAGTCATGGTTCCAAGTAGCCATTCATATAGTACCGTATCATAGGATATGTTTCTGTTTTCAGGCTCACCAAATCACTAAATACTGGGAATTACAGCTTGTTAACAGGTTTAAACATTAATGCTTATCCTAATCTCTTTACCTATGAACTTATCAAACTGAATATAAAAAGAAACATTAACCACTTTTAAGACAACATTAATACTTATCCATATGTATATTTCATTATGGATAATTCATTCAAGGTAATAGAAGTGGATTGTTTGGGGTATCTCCTGGTCATCAATCTTATGGTTGAAATATACATATGGTTCATAAAATAGAAAAGCATATGTGTGCTTAACCACTATTTTTATTTGCACCTTATGGCTGGTTGAAATATACATGAAGTATATATAACGAGGATATCAAAGATTAGTGGCTGGCTTGGTGCATGAATGGCAAGGAGACTTCAATTCAAGGTAGTATTCAAGTAACTTTTGCATCCTAATTATGAGAAAATTGATGGTTGGGCAGCCTCAAGGATCTAACTTATGTATATGAAGATTCAGCTTATCACGCAGGATAGGTTAACTAGTTGGTTACCATCTTGTCTGTTATGGTCCCGCACGTAGGATCCCGTCACGGGTCGGTCCACGGTGCGAAAGCCCTGCTTCCCCTTGCGCCTTCCCTTGCTTGCAGACCCGATTACGGAAACTGAATGGG